CAAAGCATGTCGCCCCTATCAACATGGAAACATAGGATTATAAAATTCAATTAATTAAGAATGTACTACATATACAACTACAAAATATACCTCAACTCGATTATAGTCTGTTATAACAGCCTCATAAAAATGATTGTCTTCAGGCCACCTAGTCCAAACTTTCCTTCCAATTAATGGATCATATGTTGCTGCTTCAGCAGGTTCATTTGTTGCAAAGGCCCCTGAAGACATACGGTTAGAAGCCTGGGGTCTGCCAGGAAGCCCTGCAGAAGGGTACTGCGTCGACTTCATTGAAGATACAGCAAAACAGCATATAATATCAGTAAATGGTGAAAATAAGATATGCATAATCCATTCATTAACTTCCTTGGAACAAATTGACTCACAGATTTTGCCTTCTTGCTCTTTGCACCTGTGGGGGGACCTCGTCTCAAGGCCGATGAAGACGGTTGCATAGATGGATGCAGTGCAGGACATGGTGCAACCATTGACAATGAAGCTACAGATTGTGACGTCTTTTGTTTCTTGCGTGAACCTGATACTGTAGGACTAGGTAAAGGGTCACACATAGGCTGACTTGCACTGAGCATTCCAGGCTGGATCCCACCTGCCGTTCTCCATTCCCTAACAACAATATTAAACATAGTTCCCATTAAAATGCAGATATGACAAGAAGTCATCACATATATAATAAAAGCTGCTCAGTAGAGCATGGCAAAGTATAGTCGGACCTTATCCTCCGGATCAAGTCATCAGCATTAACCCTTGATAGAAGCTCTCTATGTTCCACATCTGACACTCTCAACTCCTTCCTGAGTTCAGTTATTAAACTTTCCTTCTCCTGAGGGAAAACACATTTGGTTTAAATAGCATTAAAACCTACTTGACACAATTTTTGTGGGATAAATTTTTGATTTTTTTTCACAAATACCCAAGTTAAAGCATCTGATTGAGCTTTGAAGGCACGCAGAACTGAACTGTATGCTTCCTGTTCGATGAGATGGATTTGTGTTTCCATATCACCACCATGAATCCTGGGCAAAGGAGCAACTTCTGCTCTTCCGTTGCCCACAGAACCTACAACTGCTGATCTTCCATTGCCTGCAGCAGTGCGACCCCCTCTCTGAAACCTATTCTGATGTGAAGAAGGAAGATCATCATCTGTTCCTGCAGTTGTTTCAGATTGGAAAAAATTCATTAGCTGATTTAAGCTTCTATTATAGGGAAAAATTTATGCAAAGGTTTGCAGAACACCTCGAGCGATGTAGTAATTACAACATCTAGAAAGAGAATGGGGTGCGAGAAAAAGGATGCTCGAACCTTTTGTGATTACAAGTTATTGAATAGCAAGGGCTTAAATATTCACTCAAATTAACCAAGGAAATCGACTTAACTTTTCCATCAATAAACCAATCTGAAGAAAGCCTAGTTCTTTGAACCTCAAAATCATCTAATGCTACCCCGTGCGCGGGGGGTTATAAACTAAAACAAAACTTTCATCTGAACTCACCACTGCTATCAGAAAGCCCATAGTCCATGACAACTCCTCCAAAATTCAATCTTCACTGAAATCTATGAAAGTACTTAACTACTTATGAACCAATACAAGCACCAGAAGCAAGCTGCTAAGTTCTTGAGGAAGGCAAGGTACAAATACCTGGAAACATAAAAATTCAATCAAGTCATAAGCCTCAATTTAGCTAACTACAGACTCATTATTCTAGTATTTGGTAGTACAAGAATCAACAACAATGAATTATCAAAATAAACCCTAGCTGAACCCACAAGCCTTAACTATGTTTTCATAATATTAAGCATGGAAATTACACTTGCAAGTTGCAACTTATTGCTTCAAACTAGATCAACAAAAACAAAAACAATGTGATAGTTCAGTGGTGTTTTACAAATGTGATTTAGGTTTTTACCTTAATGAAATTATCTTAGTTAAAGTGTTAAACACCATTTTGCTACTTGCATTTCGCTTCTATAAGCACATTTGAATACAACAGCATGAACTTTTAAAAAATAAAAAACGTAACTCTTTTTTAATAAGAATTGCAGTAATCCTACCCCTACAAAAACAATGAATTCGACAAAATTCGTTGAAACAAAACCCTAATTCCCAAAGTAAGATCTTAACTAAAACAAAATAATACAAAGATACGAACTCGCCTCGCTCGTCCAATTAGCTTCCAACGACGCTTTCTCCAAAACCTATTCGAAAACAGAGAAAAATAGGTCAAAGAAGCTCGGTAGAAGTTAAATCCCGAGTAACGAATTCGTCCGATAAGAGGAGAATAATCATGTTTCAAAATTTCGAATTCTTCTTGAAACTTGAACGGCGATGTGAATATGAGGAATTAAGGAGATGCTTCGGGATGGAGATTGGGGATAAAATTAGGGTTTAGAGTGAATTTGAGAGTGAAGAGATACGCTATTGGATTTGCACGAGAGAACTGTGTGCGCGTTTGAGAGGGAAGAGAAAGAAGGCGGACTTGAAATACGTGTTTATGGCGCAATCTTTTGTTCAGTTTGAGTTCCGCTCTCTACTCGTCGCCCATAATTCCATGTCGTTTTGTTTAATTACATTATTAATGCGTGAGTTTAGTTACTACGGAGTGCGGACTTCGGTCTAACCCTAAAATTAAAAGGTCTTCGTGGTAGCGGCTTAGTCCCTCACAATTCTCTACTCTTTTCAGCTTATTTATTGATTCTTTACTTCGTTATTTGTAGCAGATTCAGTGATGCTTATCTGAGCGAGTTGATAGTAAATTGGGTAGTTTTTAATTCGTATTCATTAAGAAAATTAGTTATTTGATTTGTGATCGTTAAAAAAATTTATTTTTTGACTTTTGCTCGTTAGTCACTTTGTTGCTAGTTAAGTTCATCAAAAATTTTATCTTGTTTTTTAACTATATGTAAAATCTACTAATATTATATAGAGTTTAATATAAACATAAATTGATACAGTTAATAAAAAAATTATCTAAAGAATGTATGAAACAAATCGAAAGCCTAAACTCGAATAACAATCTACAAACACATTAAAATAATAATTAGTATTTAATTTTTTAGTGTAGTAAAATAATAATTATTAATTAATAATTTAATATTTTATTATTTATTAGAATATTAATGAATTATTCATTTATTAATAAATTAGTACTGTTTAATGAAATACTTTTTTAAGATAACTAGTAAAAAGATATATAAAAAAAATAACGAGTTGTTCGCGAACTTATCAAGTCGAGTTTGACTTTGCTCGACTCAGTTATTTAAGATCTCGAGTCGAGCTTTAATCGAGTTTTGACTAAGTCGAATTCGAATTGCTCATGAGCTGTTTAATTCATTAAACATAAGCTTATCATAATAATAAAAAGGGTAAATTACATATTTAATACCTAAACTATTAATTTTAAACTATTTTAGTACCTAAATTTTTATTTTTTTTCCAAAATCATACCTAAAATTTAGTTTTTATTTCATTTTAATACACCATTTAAAATTTAACATTAAGTTTAAAAAAAATTGAAAATTTAAGTGCTAAAATAGACCACAACTGATAATTTGGGTAATAAACAAGCTAAGTTGTTAACTGCGGGTACTAAAATGAAACAAAACTAAACATTAGGTATGATTTTGAAAAAAAAATTAAGTACTAAAACAAACTAAAATCAATAGTTTATGTACTAAATTCGTAGTTTATCCCAATAACTAAGAGTGTTCAAAAATATTTAATTTGTAATATTCAACTTGTTGATTTAGAAGGAAAAAAATTGAATATTTATCAACTATTTTTCTAATAAAAGTGCTTACGAAGGTGCATTGCATAATGATAATGGTGATAAGCTTTGCTCCATCTCTTATTAATAACCGATCTTAGCACACAACTTTATAATTTTAATGTACATTGTACTTATTAAATATATTTAAAATTAATCTAAAATTATAAAATTTATAAATCTTAAATTTAATTATAGTAGATCATCTTAGACCGACTCAACCTTAAAACCTTAATAATCACCCAACGCAATTTTAATCATGAATCTTCATCGACCACCTAAATAATCGCCGACCTCATTGTCATTATACAAATCCTAAAATACTCACATACCACCTCAAACCTCAATTTTCCATCGACTTTACCATCACAAGCCTTAATTTTTTTTATTGAAAAACCATAAATCTCAAAGTTCTCGAATTCTAATACATCCATGTATCTGGTTGTAGATCTCAACGGTTAAAACACCGCACGTCCAATAGAAAGTAATATATCTCAATCGGATAACAATCAGAAGGTGGAGGAGGTACAAATCGACGCTATTTGGTTCATATTTTAATTTAATTTTTATATAGATATAAATCGAAAGATTAGAAAGGGGAGAAAAAAACTTTTATTCAACCCTAATCTCGACACAAATGGTGACCAAAGTATGACAATGTAATATGATGATTGTATTAAAGCTAGATTTAAGGAGTTTATGTTATTTTTGATTAAATAGCTAATAAGTTTGCGCTCAAAAGGGAGAAACGAATTTGGTGAAACATTTTGAGATTCATCTCTGATGACAGTGATCGACAGTAAGTAGAATGGCGGCTAGCGTAATGACCGATTATGGGCTGGTTTAGGTTGAGAGAGGAAAAAAAAGGTAAAAAATAAGAAATAAGAAACGAGGGGAAATGAAAAGAAATAATTTTTATTAGAAATTAAAACGATTTCATTTGAACAAAATTTGTTTTTATGTATGGATTCAAAATAACGTCATTTTGGCATAGTTGATTGTCTCATGATACCGTTAATTATTTAATGGTGGGTGACTAAAAATTAAGTATTTACATTTTTTTAATAATTAAATTAAAAATGCTAAAATTTTATTAATCAAAATAGAAGAGAGATGATAATTGAGTGATTTGAATTTGTATTTTGCCCTACATGCGCTGGCCAACGATGGCGCCTTTTAAAAGCTGCTTCAGATATACTTCATTCTTGCAAAGGAACTTTTTCCACTCGTTCGTTATCCGTATAGATTTTTCTTTAATTTATGCCTTCCAAATTGTTTATTGTTTCTCTTTAATTTTAATGCGAATTCTTAGAGGCTTCAGATTGGGTTGATATCTTTCAGCGAATTGAATTTCCGGCGATCGATCAGCGTTTGGGGCACGAATGTCTCAACCACAGGATACCTCCAAAACCTAGAAGTTGAACCCTAAATAACTACAGTTGAAGCAACTACTTCAACCTTTTGGGTAATGCCCTATCATTTGATTTCGCTTTCTTTTGCTCATTTGAAATCCTATGTATTCCAGTAAGTGATAATTTTCCTGGGGAAGAACTAGATCTGTCTTGATTGCATTTTCCTTGTTTCTTTTATGGTAAAACTGTTGGCGTCATCTTTTGTGTCCAGTTCTCATTTGATTTCGCTTTCTTTTGCTCATTTGAAATCCTATGTATTATAGTAAGTGATGACTTTCCTAGGGAAGCACTAGATCTGTCTTGATTGCATATTCCTTGTTTCTTTTATGGTAAAACTGTTGGCATTATCTTTTGTGTCCAGTTCTCAACAACCATTTTCAGTGTTCCTTAAACTCGTATCCTTCTTTGAGTTGTAAAGTAAATTTAGCCTGAATTTCTGGGCATATTTTTGGTTTCTTTTGATGGGTTATGTTTCTTTGCTTATGAAAATTGCAAGATTTTGTTCAATGCTTCTTTTCCAACCTCATAAATTTCCCAATGATTTGGTTGCTGCAGTTGCTTACAAAAAACATAGACTTTACTTCTCAAATCTTCACTTCATCGGTAATCTTTTACAAAAAAACATAGACTTTTACATGATAATGGTTGAGCTTACAAATTTAATTAGAAACTTGGCATATCTATATCCTGTTAACCCTTAACTTTTACATTGTTTAAGAAAGTAGAGCATTAAGCTTCATATTTTTCTCCTTGGGTATTGCCACGTAGTTGTGGTTGGAAAACACCGAGTTGGTGAACTTTCTTTTTACTATTATCATTTCAAGTTTTCAATGTTAATGTTGTTTTCTGAATTTTGAGTTGTGTTTACTCTTTTATTTTTGTATTTAAGATATTGTATACCTGGTTAATAAAAATATCTAACCAAAATATAGACTATAGGATCGGCTCAATCCTTTAGGAAAAGATTGGGCCGAGTTTAAGTGCAAGTTGGCTAAATCTTGTAAGGCTAAGCTCTTTTGTGAATTAACAAAACTTAAACATTACATGTGAATAATTGTCTTTGCAATGCCTTTTTGTATCAGATGCTTCGAGCAGTAGTAGGTTTATGATGTACCTGATATTTGACGTCATAACTAGAAATAAATAAATCAAGGAAATGTGCTCATTGATGTTGTATTCTACAGGGAATGAGAGGTCCACGTAAACTTGAGGTGTGGAAAATGGGCTTTGTCAATTACTTGGATGCACTTAAGCTGCAGGAGAAGCTGGTATATAATAGAAAATTATGTAGGATTCCTGATACTCTTCTGTCCCTGCAACATCCACCAACATATACAATTGGAAAACGGCGAACTGATCACAATCTGCTAATACCTTCATCTGAATTGAAAAATATAGGAGCTGAGCTTCATTACACGCAAAGGGGAGGTGACATTACATTTCATGGTCCTCGTCAAGCCATCCTATACCCTATTATTTCACTTCGTGAAATTGGGCTTGGTGCCAGGAATTATGTGGAGAAACTTGAGTTGACTATGATTGAATTGTCATCCTTGTATGGTGTTAAAGCTTGTGCTGGCCAGAAGGGTGAGACAGGGGTTTGGGTTGGAGAAAGAAAGATCGGTGCAATTGGTGTCCGGATATCACATGGAATAACCTCTCATGGGCTAGCATTCAACATTGATCCCGATTTAAAGTATTTTAAACATATTGTGCCTTGTGGAATTACAGATAAAGAAGTTACATCTTTGAGTAGAGAGACGTCTACCATGCTTCCGTCTGAGGAAGTCATGCACGAGCAGTTAATTTCTTGTTTTGCAAGACTTTTTGGTTATAATACTGTAGTATGGAAGGAGAATCCGTCAATATTGTCTGATCTTGAAGAAATAGAGTGAATTGCAACTTATATTGTGTCAAATGATTTGATTATGTAACCTTTGATTAAATCATTCTTGGAAGATAAATAATCAAATTTGTTGATTTCATCATGTGACTGAAAGGAGAATTCAATTTAGAGATCACCATCGATGTTGGTAAAATGGGTGGAAGTCTGTTGAAAGAGTGAATTTTCTTTTCCTTAGCTTCTGAGTATCACCTATGTATTATCTTTTGGCCAATCCCAGCCTAAGCTGTCTGTTTGGAGCAATCATTTTTCTCTGGTGTTACCATTCATTTCTAAATGCATTATAGGACAATTTAAAACCTTATGCATGGATGGAAAACGAGAATTTCTGGAAATCATATTTGGACAGTTAACTGGAAAAAAAAAAGTAACTCTACCTTCCTGGAAAAATCTTCATTCTCCAAATGAAAAACAGCTTAAGTGATTTTGGTAATATATAAATCCTTCAAATGCAACTCTCAGGTTAAGTTAATTGCACCAGTCCTCAATCATGTATGTAAACTTTCCTCCTCTCCGTTGAATTCGGCTGCAGATTAAGTTCAGTGCACCAGTCCTCAATCATGGCTGGCAAGCCTGTTAATCAGGAAAAAAAAACAGGAGATGATGCTAGAAAGGAGAAGACCCTTCTATAACCCCAGTGAAGTTGAAAAGACTCAATTGGAATGCATTTTACCAGAAGCATTATGAGCGGTGGTTTTGCAGAAAGCAGGATTATGCAGCTAAATTTAGCTGTTTTTGTTACACGGGTTAGGACAGGCAAATGATGCAACTGATTTTGGTCTCATGTGATTGGTCACATGAGACATGTTATCTATTATTTGAGGATTGCACAAAAGACAAATACTTTTCAAATCAGTGTCAAGTGATCAGCAGCTTCTAAGTTCCCATTTCATTATGTAACAAAGGAAAATGAACAAGAACAAATCTGATCAAGAAGATATTCTAATCTACATTATTAGTGGAAATCCCAGCATGCAATTTATGATTATTTTAATGAACTTACTGGCCTACTTTGCTGTCATTAGTTTTCTCTAACCTATACTTATGTTTGGTTATTACTTCGAATAAACCGTGCTTATGAGTATCTTTGCTCCATTTAGAACCTGATCGGATATGCATTAGATCTGGTGATCAAAATCAGTTAAGTTTAATATGCCATAACCCTGCTTTACTAGCTATGATATTGAATTTAGTTTAAGCACATGATACCTAGTCAAGATAGGGCTATGATATAGAATTTAGTTTTAAGAACATGATAAGTAGTCAATATAGGGATGTGATATTGTATTTAGTTTAAGCACATGATACCTCGTCAAGATAGGAATATTCAACTTTGAAACAGTGTTCTTAGTAGGTATGGAGTAATTGTCTAGTAACATTTTTTATACATTACACTCATTTTAAGACATTAGCATAAGCATGTAAGACATGCAGTGTCAACTTTCCTGAAGATATCTCTCTATGTCTTAGCTCTAAACTCATCTCTATTACAGTTATTTTCCAACAGAAGATCAGTATGAAATTCATTCATAGAGCTCTGTTTGCTGTCTTTTCCTTAATACTCTTTAATTCACTCATCTGTTCTCCGCTGTTGGAAAAACACTCGTCCAAGAGCTGGAAATCAATCGAGGAGATTGTTAGGTTCTTTTGCTTCTATTTCTGCAAATCTAGACAAGTTGAGTGAAGCCATTTGAGATCCTTTGGAGACAAGTCTAAGACAAGCACCACCGAGTGCTTCAAATCCCAACCAAAACAAGTGACTCCAGCGCTTGCCTACTGCCTAGAGATCTGAGGAAGAAAGAGATATAAAGACCACTTTTATCTTTCAGCATTTTTGCAGTATTCTTACGTTTACTGTCGGATACATAGGACTATTGGATCTCTAGTTTTTTTTCTTTTTTATATCTGCAAATTATTCAATACTAACTTATTTTTTCTGCAAGTCTTGTTTTGTAGTTGATTTAGGGCTGAGATTATACAGTTTCTTCACAGTATCCTGTAACTGTAAGAAAACAACAGAAATAACAGAGTTTCTTTGAGAATATCACAAGCATCTTGTCTTGTGATATTTGTGCAAATCATTGTTTGTTTCCATTTTTTTGGTTCTTTCCCTTGCTAGTTTATTTTTCTTTGTGCAGTGAAAGTCTCTGCAGAAACTGCACCTTTCTAATTTGAATCATCTTTCTCTTGTTCTTCCTAGTTTCCTTGCATGTGACTTCATGTGATGAACAAGACAAGATTGGGCTACTTAATTCTTTTGTTTACTTTTCTAGGTAACATGATCCATGATGCAGATCATGTAAAGACAACTAAACACGTTACCTTATAATAATGCTGCTAGAAATCCTTTCAGGTAGAGAATAGAACCCTTAGAACCAAAAGCAAGTGTTAAGAGGATTCTCTCTCTCTTTCGCACACACACAAAAGACTTTCTTTCCAAGTTACTGTCCATTTACCCTGTGTTCATGCTTCTCAGCTAGTTTATTAATGTCCTCTCAGCTATCACATATGTCTAACATTGTATATGCATGAATGCATGGTGTGTACGTTCATTTATTTCTAGATTCGTCCGTCTTCATCGAGTTTTTATTAGATTAAACATGGTAACAATAATCCGATTATGCAGGAGCAGAGAAAGGCTGAGTTCCAGGAGGGGAAGATCGAGGAACATGATAAATCGACCTGGATTTACCTTGTGGCAACGTGCTTTACAGCATCACTGTGACTCAAACTCTTTTATTCTGTCAAAATATAAACTGCTCGACACTCATTTCCATAAAAGGCCAATGAAAATTTAGCTTTTATATGGCTGTTGGGGATCCATACAGATACAGCTGCTAGAACTTGAATGAATTTTACATACTGGCTATTGATATTTTACTGCTTATTGGTAACATTAAGGCCAAATGATCTTATGAGTCTTCTGTTACTGCCTCCAGTTCGCGGCTGTCAAATTGCTTATAATCTCATTCATGCTTGAATGATTTTCGAGGTTTTCATTCTCATTTTTGCATACGGTTTTGTTCTTTAGATTTTGTGTAAATTACGCCTTTAGTGCCTAAACAATCAGTTTTGGTTTGATTTAGTATATAAATTTTCAACTTTTTCATAACCATACCTAAAGTTTTGTTTCATTTTAGCACTCCCACCATTAAAAACTTTAGTTTTTTTAGTATCCCGTTCAAAATTTAATTTTAAGTTTTGAAAAAATTGAAAATTTAGGTACTAAAACGGACAAAAAATGATAGTTTAGGTACTAAACACGTTAAGTTTTTAACGACGAGTGTTAAAATGAAATAAAAACTAAACTTTATGTATGATTTAAAAAAAAAATTAAGTAATAAAACAAATCAAAACTAATAGTTGATGTACTAAATATTTTTATATAAGTTATGTATGCTTTTATTATAATACCATTGAGTATATTATTTTTAAAAGAGGACGACCAAGTATTAAAAGTCAGGATTTGTCTTGGTAACCAATATGATACTTTAGGCTCAATCAAATCTAAGGTGTTAATATATAAATAGCATAGTTCATGTTAACGGTGGAGGGAGGAGGATTTCCTCACATTAAACCACACATGCCCATTTCAATTCCACAAACTCATTTCAATTCCCCCAATTTTGCTACAAAAATATTACACCTATAAGCTCTTTCTCTCTCTCTCGCTTTATATATATATACACACTAATCTTATAATTTAGCATAATTCATGACAACAGTGGAGGGAGGAGGATTTCAAATATATAGTTTGTTTTGCATGGTTTTCTCTGTGGAGGTTGATAAACATGAACGTGGGGGTAGAATTATCTTTTTTTTATTTGGAAAACCTCAAAAATAGATATGGAAGCCAATTTTTTTTGTGCAGAAGAGAAAAAGAAGAGGGTGGGGCTTCTTTGGTGCAGAGAAGAAAGAACAAGAAGAAGAAAAAGGATTAAAAAAAACACGTGAACTATTTTATTTCCACGTCACTTAAAAATTACCTTTTGATGATTTGTTTATCTGCATATTTTTGTAGGAAGGAGGGAAAAAGAGAAGGGAAAAAAACCCATACAAAAACTATAGATCCTAAATTTGAAAAAGGGCCCAAAAAACCAAATAAGAAAAAGATAGCTGGAAACCCTCGAAACCTAAAAAAGCCCAAATCACAATCAAAGAAAAATCGAGGGAACTCTTCCCGCCGCCGTCGAGCGCACTTTCGCCGTCTCTCCATCTTATTTGTGACTGGCGAAACCACATTTCCGAGCTGTTCCCGCCAGTATCGCTCGCTTTCACTTGAGTTGCAGCTATGTATGGAGGAGGTGAGTTGGAAGAAAGTCGAGCCTCATTTAGCTTTTTTTGTGTGTGTGTATTTTGTTACTTTGATGATTTGCCTACTTACGTCTTGAATCTCAAAATTGAGTAACTATACATAATAATTAACATGCACAGATGAAGTATCGGCTATAGTGATAGACTTAGGGTCTCACACTTGCAAAGCTGGTTATGCTGGTGAAGATGCTCCCAAGGCTGTATTTCCCTCTGTAAGACAAGTCCAAGCTTCTTTCTTTCTAATTTGATGATTCCTTTTGTTTTTTCGACCTACTCACATAATTCTTCATTGTTTATGTTCTTTCTTTGTTTGTTAAGGTTGTGGGGTGCATTGATCAAATGGATGTCGGTGATGACAAAGAAAACAACGATTCCGAGACTAACAACAATAATGATGATTCAAACAAGCCCAAAGATAAACGCAAATTGTATGTAGGCTCTCAAGCCTTGGGTTTTCGCCGTGACCATACGGAGGTGAGGTCCTTGCTTGATTATACTTGATTTTTTTTCTATTAGTTCATTTATGTATTTCTAGTTGTGTATGTATTAGTTAGTTAACAGCTGCTTGCATTCATCAGGTGGTGTCTCCCCTAAAGGATGGGGTGGTTGTTGACTGGGATATTGTTGATAACATCTGGGATCATGCTTTCAAGGATTGTTTACTCATTGATCCCAAGGAACATCCAATGCTACTTGCTGAACCTTCTTCCAATACTCAACAACAGAGGGAAAAGTCAGAATTTCCGAGCAATCAAGCTTAGTTAATTTTCT